TCTCATGGGTCCCTGTACGGCCTCCCATTGCTGCTGTCTCCATCGCCACACTCTGCCATGTGTGCCACTTTCAGGTCTCCTCACACTGCTGTGTGTGTAATTTTTTGACATAGGGTGCTGGCAGATTACGGGCCTCCCATTGCTGCTGCCAGCCCCTAATCTGCCATAGGCCCCTATATACCGCCTCCTCATGCTGCTGCTGCCAGGTCCAGAGTCTCTCATGGGTCCCTGTACGGCCTCCCATTGCTGCTGTCTCCATCGCCACACTCTGCCATGTGCCACTTTCAGGTCTCCTCACACACTGCTGGTGTGTTGAATTTTTTGACATAGGGTGCTGGCAGATTACGGGCCTCCCATAGCTGCTGCCAGGCCCCTAATCTGCCATATGGGCCCCTATATACCGCCTCCTCATGCTGCTGCCAGGTCCAGAGTCTCTCATGGGTCCCTGTACGGCCTCCCATTGCTGCTGTCTCCATCGCCACACTCTGCCATGTGCCACTTTCAGGTCTCCTCACACACTGCTGGTGTGTAGAATTTTTTGACATAGGGTGCTGGCAGATTACGGGGCCTCCTATAGCTGCTGCCAGGCCCCTAATCTGCCATAGGCCCCTATATACCGCCTCCTCATGCTGCTGCCAGGTCCAGAGTCTCTCATGGGTCCCTGTACGGCCTCCCATTGCTGCTGTCTCCATCGCCACACTCTGCCATGTGCCACTTTCAGGTCTCCTCACACTGCTGGTGTGTAGAATTTTTTGACATAGGGTGCTGGCAGATTACGGGCCTCCCATAGCTGCTGCCAGGGCCCCTAATCTGCCATAGGCCCCTATATACCGCCTCCTCATGCTGCTGCCAGGTCCAGAGTCTCTCATGGGTCCCTGTACGGCCTCCCATTGCTGCTGTCTCCATCGCCACACTCTGCCATGTGCCACTTTCAGGTCTCCTCACACACTGCTGGTGTGTGTGAATTTTTTGACATAGGGTGCTGGCAGATTACGGGCCTCCCATAGCTGCTGCCAGGCCCCTAATCTGCCATGGGCCCCTATATACCGCCTCCTCATGCTGCTGCCAGGTCCAGAGTCTGTCATGGGTCCCTGTACGGCCTCCCATTGCTGCTGTCTCCATCGCCACACTCTGCCATGTGCCACTTTCAGGTCTCCTCACACACTGCTGGTGTGTTAGAATTTTTTGACATAGGGTGCTGGCAGATTACGGGCCTCCCATAGCTGCTGCCAGGCCCCTAATCTGCCATAGGGCCCCTATATACCGCCTCCTCATGCTGCTGCCAGGTCCAGAGTCTCTCATGGGTCCCTGTACGGCCTCCCATTGCTGCTGTCTCCATCGCCACACTCTGCCATGTGCCACTTTCAGGTCTCCTCACACACTGCTGGTGTGTTGAATTTTTTGACATAGGGTGCTGGCAGATTACGGGCCTCCCATAGCTGCTGCCAGGCCCCTAATCTGCCATGGGCCCCTATATACCGCCTCCTCATGCTGCTGCCAGGTCCAGAGTCTCTCATGGGTCCCTGTACGGCCTCCCATTGCTGCTGTCTCCATCGCCACACTCTGCCATGTGCCACTTTCAGGTCTCCTCACACACTGCTGGTGTGTTGAATTTTTTGACATAGGGTGCTGGCAGATTACGGGCCTCCCATAGCTGCTGCCAGGCCCCTAATCTGCCATGGGCCCCTATATATACCGCCTCCTCATGCTGCTGCCAGGTCCAGAGTCTGTCATGGGTCCCTGTACGGCCTCCCATTGCTGCTGTCTCCATCGCCACACTCTGCCATGTGCCACTTTCAGGTCTCCTCACACTGCTGGTGTGTAGAATTTTTTGACATAGGGTGCTGGCAGATTACGGGCCTCCCATAGCTGCTGCCAGGCCCCTAATCTGCCATGGGCCCCTATATACCGCCTCCTCATGCTGCTGCCAGGTCCAGAGTCTGTCATGGGTCCCTGTACGGCCTCCCATTGCTGCTGTCTCCATCGCCACACTCTGCCATGTGCCACTTTCAGGTCTCCTCACACTGCTGGTGTGTTGAATTTTTTGACATAGGGTGCTGGCAGATTACGGGCCCCATAGCTGCTGCCAGGCCCCTAATCTGCCATGGGCCCCTATATACCGCCTCCTCATGCTGCTGCCAAGTCCAGAGTGTGTCATGGGTCCCTGTACGGCCTCCCATTGCTGCTGTCTCCATCGCCACACTCTGCCATGTGCCACTTTCAGGTCTCCTCACACTGCTGGTGTGTTGAATTTTTTGACATAGGGTGCTGGCAGATTACGGGCCTCCCATTGCTGCTGCCAGGCCCGTAATCTGCCATGGGCCCCCGTACCGACTCCTCATGCTGTGACGTTGCAACAAGGTGGAATTCAACCCTACATATGTTAGACCGCCTTTACGAACAGCGAAAGGCCATCACGATTTCCTGATGTTAAAAGCGGATAAAGGTACTCCCTGTGTAACTTAGATGTCAGCCATTGGCAGCTCATGCGTGACACCTGCGCTTGCTCAGGCCCTTTGAGGAGGCCACGCTATTCGTGAGTCGGCAGGACTATGGGATGAATGAACGACGTCATTCCTCTGTTGCACGTCCTGGAACAAATGCTGTTAACAATGGCTGGTCAGGGTGCGGTAGACGTGGCGCACAGATCTCAACGCCACATGACCCCTGTGGGGGCAGGACAGGAAGAAGAGGAGGAGGTAGAGGAGGACATTGGTGCTCAGGAATTATTGAGTGAAATGGGTGGTTTTTCCACTCAGCGGACAGGAGTGGAGGAGCAGGAGCATCTGGTAGAGGAGGAGGAGGAGGAGGAGGAGACAGAGGACCCAGACGCACCGTGGCAGTATGCTGTGGAGATGGAGGCAGGGAGTCCCTCGCATTCCTTGGCACAAATGGCCCATAGCATGCTCGGTTGCTTGCGTAGCGACAGCCGAATAATAACCATCAGACAGAGGGATGACTTTTGGCTGTCCACCTTGTTGGACCCTCGCTACCGTTCAAAAATGGTGGCCTTTTTCACACCTGCTGAGAGGGAGGCCAAAATAACGTACTATAAAAACCACCTATGTAGTCAGCTGGTCTCTGCCTGTCTGCGCCAACGTCCATCCTCAGACACTGTGGGCCCTGTGCGCTCGCGTTCCGCTGCCATGGCAGCAGGGGGGAGGGGTGGGGTGGTAGGAGCAGTGGCAGCTCCACCAGCAGCGGCTGCCTCAGTCTGCAGTCGATGATGAGTAGCTTTCTTCACCAGCGCAGTGAGGAAACTACTAACCAGCCAGCAGCAGCAGCAGCAGCAGCAGCAGCAGCATCAGGTGGACCTGGAGCAGGACCTCAAACAACAGGCTTAGGCCTACTTGGACAGCACCCTGCCAACCGAGGTAGACAATCCCCTTGACTACTGGGCAACGAAACTTGACCTTTGGCCCCAACTAGCTGAATTTGCCCTTGAAAGGCTGTCATGCCCGGCCAGTAGCGTGGCATCGGAGCGCGTGTTTAGTGCGGCAGGAGGTATTGCAACTCCGCGGAGGACACGACTGTCCACCCAAAGTGTGGAGAGACTGACGTTTGTGAAAATGAATCAGGCGTGGATTAGTCTGGATTTCAAACCACCAGTTCCTGACACAACTGACTAAATCCGCCATGAATCTGCCCCAAACATGTGCCACTTTCAGGTCTCCTCACACTGCTGGTGTGTTCCATTTTTTGTCATAGGGTGCTGGCAGATTACGGGCCTCCCATAGCTGCTGCCAGGCCCCTAATCTGCCATGGGCCCCTATACCGCCTCCTCATGCTGCTGCCAAGTCCAGAGTCTCTCATGGGTCCCTGTACGTACGGCCTCCCATTGCTGCTGTCTCCATCGCCACACTCTGCCATGTGCCACTTTCAGGTCTCCTCACACTGCTGGTGTATTCCATTTTTTGTCATAGGGTGCTGGCAGATTACGGGCCTCCCATAGCTGCTGCCAGGCCCCTAATCTGCCATGGGCCCCCTATACCGCCTCCTCATGCTGCTGCCAGGTCCAGAGTCTCTCATGGGTCCCTGTACGGCCTCCCATTGCTGCTGTCTCCATCGCCACACTCTGCCATGTGCCACTTTCAGGTCTCCTCACACTGCTGGTGGGTTCCATTTTTTGTCATAGGGTGCTGGCAGATTACGGGCCTCCCATAGCTGCTGCCAGGCCCCTAATCTGCCATGGGCCCCCGTACCGACTCCTCATGCTGCTGCCAGGCCCGTAATCTGTCATGGGCCCCTGTTGTCGCTTGTTGGCATATTCCGCTCGTTCAGATGCTCCTTCTCCTGCTACTCCTCTTCACGGATTCCGTCAGCAGTCTTTCTTGGAATCCGTTTCCAAGAGACAACAGTTTGCGAGCACGCACCAGACGGTGCAGAAACTGAACGTCCTCCTGTCCAAGTTGCTGCTGCCAGGCTCGTAATCTGTCATGCGCCCCTGTACCGCCTCCTCATGCTGCTGCCAGGTCCAGAGTGTGTCATGGGCCCCCGTACCGACTCCAAATGCTGCTGCCAGGCCCGTAATCTGTCATGGGCCCCTGTACCGCCTCCCCATGCTGCTGCCAGGTCCAGATTGTGTCATGGGTCCCTGTACGGCCTCCCATTGCTGCTGCCAGGCCCGTAATCTGCCATGGGCCCCCGTACCGACTCCTCATGCTGCTGCCAGGCCCGTAATCTGCCATGGGCCCCTGTACCGCCTCCTCATGCTGCTGCCAGGTCCAGAGTGTGTCATGGGTCCCTGTACGGCCTCCCATTGCTGCTGTCTCTATCGCCACACTCTGCCATGTGCCACTTTCAGGTCTCCTCACACTGCTGGTGGTTTCCATTTTTGTCATAGGGTGCTGTATGGCCTCCCATTGCTGCTGCCTCCACCGCCACACTGTGGCTCCACACTCTGGTTTTGGCCCCGTGACTGATTCACAGCGAATATATTCGACTCGAATCGAAATTTTTCCACAAATTCGCCGAATCAGTCGAATCGAATTTTTGAATACTTCACTCATCTCTAGCAGACATGGTCAGACTTGTTGCACCCAGCCTCAGTCGGCTTGCAACATCATTCCTCTGCTCAAGGCACTCTTCCTGCATCCCCGACAGCACCCCCAGTGACGGCCCAGTATACTCTGCTAACTACCACATACCAGTCCCCGCTCCCACTCGCTGCACCTATCCTTTCTTTAACCCTGTAAAGAAGTCCTCTGTAGCAACTGCTCCCCTTTATGAAGGCCACCCTACAAGCCTGGTTTGAATTCCTATCATCAAACCACCCCGATTCTGAATTGAAAAGTATCTACGCGCCTATCTCTACTCTACATCTCCTCATCCCTTTTTTAAACCTGTCACAATGGGAAATCAGCGGTATGTCACATATACGAGATATATACACCAACAACAAACTAAACTCATTCACTACTCTCCAAACAAAATTCCACTTACCTAAGGATGAAAATTTTAACTATCTAAGAATATCTCACTCCCTACAGTCAATGGCCATACCTTCAGAGCTATCAATCCCCGCCACGGCCTACTTTTTTTCCACAAAACACAATATCTAAAAAAGGAATTTCGACATTTTATAAACTACTTACCAATGCCCAATTTTCCATAAAAACCACCTCCCTCACTAACTGGGAAAGCAACTTACACCAACCAATTTCCCCACACATATGGGCTAAAACTTTCAACATTACATACAAAGCTTCCATATGTAGCTCCCACTGGGAATCATACCTAAAAAACCTTACATCAATGGTACCTAACACCAACTAAACTCGTTCTTTTTTACCCCCAACACTCACCTAAATATTGGAGACAATGTGGAGAATTGGTCTTGATCACCCACATATTATGGCAATGTAAATCTCTTACATCATATTGGAATAAAGTGTTTCAACTAATTTCTACAATCTCAGGATTCCGTATTCCCCAAAATCCAGCCTAGCCCTTTTGAATATAGGAATAGACAAATTTCCCCCAAACTCACAAATTATCATAATCCACACACTAGCAGCGGCAAAAACTAATATTACCAGACTGTGGAAATCCACTAAAATACCTGCCATCTCAACACTTATATCTGACCTAAATTTTCAATGTGAAATGGAAAAGAGAACAGCATCCCGAAACCTCACATACCATAAATTCTGATTTCAATGGTCTCGTTGGCTAAAAAACCCTAACTGCTCTATTAAATTACATCCACTTAATAACATTACTATTACGTAACCAACGCTTGACTGGGGGGTCCCTTTAAACTACCCACAAAGCTGCACTGTATAGAACCTGCTGAAACAGGACTGACATTTTGTTTTGTTAATTATATTTTTATTAAAAAAAAAATAAATAAAAAGTGTGAGGTCCCACCCTAATTCTTACCAGACCCTTTAGGTCTGGTAGGAAGGTTAGGAGGCACCCCACAGTAAGAAATAATAAAAAAAAAGTGTGGGGGGTTCCCCCTAAAAGCCCTACCAGACCTAAAAGACCTTTAGGCCTGGTAGAACTTTTAAGTGGAACCCCTCCCGTCAAAAAATGGGTGAAGAAAATGTGGGGTCCCCCCTAAGTTCTTACCAGACCTTTGATCCAAGCACAGGCCTGGCAGGGCTAGGAAGGGAGGGAGGGACAAGGGCCTTCCCCAAAACGCTGGTCCGGTTAATGTGGGGGTTTGCGGGCAAAGGGAGCTTGTTATCATCAGGGTACCCTTTTAAATAAGGGGTCACCCTGATTACTTGTGAATGAGTAAGGGGTTCTTGTACACCTACCCATTCATTAAAGGGTTAAATGCAGTATTTAAAAAGAAAAAAAAAGAGACCAATCTTTTGAAAAATTCCTCTAAGTGAAAATAAAACAAAACAGATTTTGACAAGTCCTTTAATAATAATTTAAAACAAAAATAAAATCGCTCCATCATTGTAATTTATTGTTAATTACGGGGTCCAGCGTTGTCACAAGGATGCCGACTCACCAAAATTAAAACAAACCAAAATAAAAGAAGTAGTTATCGGTGACGTCCCCACCTGGTCTTCCCAATTGTTTACATCTGACCGACAACTGTCAGACCTGTCTTATTGCAAAGAGTGCTGGGTGGGTGCAGACGGGTGGGCGGGCGTAGTTTTCTTTTTTTAATTTTGGCAAGTCGGAATCATCAGGACAACACCGGACAACGTGACTGATGATGGATTACACCGATGGAACCATTTTTTATCATCCTGAGTGAGGATTTACCCCCCTTCCTGACCAGGTCTCTTTTTGCTATTCGGCGCTGCACTATTTTCTCATTTCTATAAAAAAAAAATCCAAAAAACTCAAATTTTGTCATAAATTTAGGCCAAAATGTATTCTGTTACATGTTTTTTTGGTTAAACAAATCCCACTAAGTGTATATTGATTGTTTGGGGGAAAGTCATAGCATCTACAAACTATGGTATAGTTAATGGAATTTACACAGCTTGTACTTTCTGATTGCCTATCACATTTCTTGAGGTGCTAAAATATCAGGACAGTACAAACACCCCAAAGTAGTCACTCTAAGCTATCTGTTGAGAGGCATATTGAGTCCATGGAAGATTTCTTTTTTTTCAACAAGATTTCGGAAAATGACAACTTTTTTTTTTTTTTTTTTGTTACACAAAGTTGTCATTTAATTATTTCTCACACAAGCCATGGGTATATGTGGAATTACACCCCAATAATACATTCTCCTACTTCTACCGAGTATGGGGATACCACATGTGTGAGACTTTTTGGGAGCCTATCCACATACAGGAGCCTGAAATCCAATAATCACTTTGATAGCCTGAAGGTGGGTAACTTCCTCATTTCACTTCCTCACTACCTATTACAGTTTTGGAGGCCCTAAAATGCCAGGATAGCACCAAACCAAAGTAGACACCCCAAGGAATTTAAAAAGAGGCATGGTAAGTATTTTGCAGATCTCATATTTTCCAACAAGGTTTTGAAATATATACAAAAAAGAAAAAAAATATGTTTTTGTTTTCTTTCTTCATTTTCCAAAAACTTGTGACAGCAAACGAGATCTGCAAAAATACTCACCATGCTTCTTATCAAATTTCTTGGGGTATCTACTTTCCAAAAATGGGTCATTGTGGGGGGGGGGGGGGAGGGGGTTGGTGCTATCCTGGCATTTCAGGGCCTCCAAAACTGTGATAGGTAGTCATAAAGTGTAATGAGGAAATAAAGCCCTTTAAAAGCCTGAAGGTGCTTATTGGATATTGGGGTCCTGTACTTGGCTAGACTGCCACAAATTCTCTCACATATGGTACCCCCATACTCAGGAGAAGTTGCAGACTGCATATTGGGGAGTAATGCCACATATACCCATGGCATATAAATTGTTTAAGTGAAAATGTTGTGTAAAAAAAAACAAAAACTTTTTTTTTGTCATTTTCTAAAAACGTGGTAAAAAAATACATTTTTTAACTGAATCAACAAGGATCTCAGCAAATAGATTGGGGTATCTACTTTCCAAAAAGGTCATTTTGGGGGCTGGGGGCATTTTATGCCCAGCATTAGAAGTTTATGCCACAGATCCCTTTTTCTTCTAGCCACCTGAAGACCAAGCCTTTTCTGACACTTTTTGTTCACATGAAAAAAAAACAGTATTTGTTGGTAGGAAAATACTTTGAACCCCAAAATATTATATATTTTTTTTAAAGCAGACACCCTAGTGAATAAAATGGTGGGTTCTGCAACTTTTGTTTGGCATATAGTGCTCACGCAGCGATTTTTCAAGCACAATGTTTTTTTTAGAAAAAAAAACAATTTTTTTACTTTTGATGCGCAAAAACACAATATATTGGCCAATTATTTGTTAAAATATAAAAGATGATAGTATGCCAAGTAAATAGATACCAAACATGACATGTTTTAAAACTGTCCATGCCCTGTGCAATGGCAATAAACTGCATATATTTTTAATATCCATAGGCAACTCTTTAAAAGCCTTTACAAGCTACCATTTTAGATTAACAGAGGAGGCCAATGCTTGACCGATGGATGGAGGGAAAGGATGCTGCTTTTTTTTTAAGTTATTTTGATTTTTTGTATTATTTTTACACTGTCCTTTTAATTTTTTGTTTTTTTGTTTGAACACTTTTAATGCTCTCACATGGAATGCAAATATCCCCTATAACTTCAATGGGCATTGTCTTATATTCTTTTTGAGAAATCTGGGGTCTATCAGACTCTAGATATCTCCTGTGCTCTTACATTCTCTAATCTCACCAAGATCTGTGTGATCAGATGCTTTCCCAATTTTCAAATGGCACTGTTTATATCCTGCAAAACTGAAGTGATGAAATTCTCATAGCTTCTGATTTATTAAACTATAGAAACGATTGGTGCTATTCCGGTCTCCAATCAGCTCTATGGTCAGCTGGCAGAAACACCGGCTGTATTCTCAGATTCCCCCAATGGCACAGGACTGTCTGAGAAGACCGTGGAAGGCAGCGGGGGAGGGGGCATATACTCCCACTGCTTGTAAAAGCAATCCTGCAGCTAATAAACCACTAGGATGGCTTTTACATGAAACCTGATTGCCAGGTGAAAATCCAGGGATGTACCAGTACGTCACTGGTCGTAGACTGTACAAATGTCTACATAGTGGCACGCTTTAATAAAAATTGTCCACGTATAAGTGGTACCCCATATGGAAAAAGGATGACACCAAGTCCCAAACTATCTTGCCACTACTCCCCATTAGTCTGCGCATTCAGGGGGCTCCACGTGATCTTTTCTCTCACAAATCCGAACTTAAACTTATATGTATAGCCTGTTGCCCTTTCACAGGTCTTCTTCATCTTGGCCCCATATCTGGCACGCTTGCTGGGGAGAAATTGTTTGAATTCAAGGCATCCAGAAACTTTTTTGAGGGACTCGTCAATGCACATGTTTTGTTGGGGAGTATAGACATCTGAAAATTTTTGGTTAAGGTAATTTACGAGGTATTTCTACTATAGGGAGGCGCAGAAGTGGATCAACATGTCCAGTAAAAAAAAAAAAAATCAAAATCAAATTTTATCATAAATTCAGGACAAAATGTATTCTGCAACATGTCTTTGCTTAAAAAAAATCCCAATACATGTAAATTAATTGGTTTACGTAAAAGTTATAGCATTTATAAATGGCAGTATAGATACTGGATTTTTTTTTTATTTTACTATTAATGTTGGTGATCAGCGTCATATAGTGGTACTACAGTGTACATTCTAACACTGAGGGGGAGCTGACTTGGTGCCACTAACATCCTC